GTAAATACGTTTTTGTTTTTCTTCTTTTTTTTTTTTTTGTTTTGTTGTTTTTGTTGCTTTTGGCCAACAAGGAGAGGAGCAGAATATCCTGCTGCGAGCGGAAAATCCACTGCTGAGCACTGCATTAAAATGAATGTCCTTTTTTTTTCTTCCTGCCGCTTTTCTGGGTGTCCCAAATAAAATTAAGCTGCGGCCAAATAAATTGCGAAAAGAACTAGATTCCAGGGGCATATTCTGGTAAGAAATGAAACAGACTTTCAACTTGGTCAAGATCCATCAGTTGCTAATTGAAATTTGTTAAGCTACAACGAAAAAAAAATGCTCGAAAAGCTATTGAATCCTGGCAAAGGATTGGTGGCAAGTCAGACATTGTCAGGCAATGCCTTTTGTGTGATGCTGTGAAAAGGCTTCAAAAAGCCAAAAAGACACAAAATAAAAAAATAAAAGAAATACAATATAAATAAAAAGGAATTCCCAGGGACATGGCAGGATTTGCGGAAAAGGAAGCGGATGTCGCGTTGGCCAATGTTTCTGTTTTTCAGCTTTCTCTTATTATTTTTTTTGGTTTGGCTTTGGTTTTTTGGTGAATGGAATCCATCAGGGAATCCATCCGAACAGGACATGTTTTCGGTGCATTGTGTGTGCTCCTGGGTCTGTGTCCAATGGAACAAAGGATGTGCCAGAAAGGATATGCCAGCGGATGGTGGACATGGTCACCTGAATGCCAAACATTTGCATGGCAGGCAGATGACTCAGTCCGAGGATATGTTTTTTTGTTCCACCCCCCAGAATATGAAGAAACAGTTAGGAATTTTAAAGATTATTAAGTTGCAAATTTATTAATTAATCTTTTATTAAAATTTGTATCTTTTAGTTATACATATGTATAAGGTATTTTGGTAGTAAACTATGGTAGTACTATGTACTATTGTCTTAAATTCTTAAAGCTTTTTTCATTTATAACCTGATGACTTTCCCGGCGAAACTTGAGAAGAGTTCTTGATTTGATTTTGGCGAAATTCTGTTACCACTTTTGCGATTTCATCACCGACTTGTTGGCCTTCTGGCATACGAGTATGTAAGCCAATTGGGAAGCCTCAGAAACCGAGCGGAAAACCTGACATAAAGACGCTGACAACGGAAATGATGAGGATGACAGGTTTCGGTTCGTTTCGTTTTCGTTTTCAGTTTTCGTTTATTTTAATTTAATTATTAAAGAGGGGTATAGGTTGCCGGTTACAAGCTACAGGGAGAAGGTGAAAGGGCAACAGCTGAACAAACAAATCAAATCGCAAACCAATCGCCTGGCGCTTGGCGCCTGCAGCCATATATCCTTTTTCTATATATATATCCCTATTCCAGGACTATTCCAGACACCCACATGAGTTACAACTACAACTATGATTTGGCTAATGGAGCTCGCCGCTCGCTGTTCGTCCTGTTGTCCTGATTGTCCTGTTTGTCGTCTGCAATCACAAGGCCAAAATCCGAAAAAGGGCAAAAGGCAAAACGGAAAATATCAAAACACCAAAATCGCAACGTCGATGTCTGGTTCTAGGTTTTTTTTTTGTTTTCTAAAAATAAAGGGTAGCAATGGGATACACTGTTAGTTTTTGAAACTTTTTTAAGTTATATATTTAGGATTAAAATATATAAAGAAATTAAAGTAATAAGTTTAGTAAAAAAATATATTTAATTTCAAAATAGATGAGAAGGTATTTTGCTCTCTGGCTTCCCTAAAAGCTATATTTTAAAAAATCTATTATAAAAAATTTTTTATTAAAACAAGAAACCAGGTTACAGGATACCAAACCCTTCCAAACCCAAATTCCATCAGCCAACCTATATTTCTTGGCCAATTTGGCAAAGTGTTTTGGCCAAAGACCGCCTCCTTGCAGCCATCACAGCCTCATCCCTAGGCCCCATATCCCCATGTCCTATGTTGCCACCATATTACCCATTTCTTCACCGATTTTTCACCATCGACGACATGCAACAGAGGGAAAAAAATACGAAAAAAAAAAATATATATATATTTCGCCATCGACAGGCGCAATAAAGTCAGTTTTTTGGCGTTGCCTGTCGGTGCCTGGCACTTCCTTTGCGCCCTTAGTCTTTGGACCTTGGTCCTTAGTCCTTTTTTCCCCCGCCACGCCCTCATTTTTGTTAATTTGCGGTGGGCGTGGGCAAAGATATGCCGGTAATTGGTTTCGCCTTTTTGTTTTGCAATTCGGTGGTTTCTTATTTTTTTTCTGGGGTTTTTGTTTCCCGTGACAACTGATTTTATTTTTCCTTATTTTTTTTAGTGCGAGACATTGCATAAAAAAAGTGCTTTAAGTAATAAATCCCACACGCACTTACCTGGGCCAACAAAGAAAGAGATGGATATAAAAATAACCCGTTACCCGTGCCACACCTGGCTGCAGTCGCAAAATGCAAATGAGCGGCATTAAAGCGGCAAGAACTAGGAATGCAAAGGAAGAGCACCGGCGACACAGACGCCAAAGATCCCCCAAGTGCCTTAATGAAAAGCAACAGCAAACACACAAACACACACACACACACACTTTTTTTGGGGGGCAGAATGGGAGGGGACATGGTGCTCCCAGGACTCCCAGCACGGATCTCCAAGCACCACATGGCGGGAGATGGGAGTTACGTTGTCGGCGCTAATCCTCATTTAATTTTAAAGTTCGAAGGTGTTGAAGATAATTTTTGCACCACCCACACTAATACACTCCACCAAGGCTCAGACTCGCACACACACATACTTACACACACTAATGCTGTTCATTACAGAGAGAGAAATTAGGGTAATTGAAATTGAGAAATTTAATCTTAAGTATTATAGCTTGAACTGAAGTACATTTATTTTTAGAGCCTGTATACACATATTGTAAATTTTTTTATAAAACATTTTATAAAATTTTAGATATTTTATTGTAAATTTACTTCTTAACAAAACTTTAAATAATTGAAAATATTTTTTGATTTCTTAGACACTTTTTACATACCCCATTAGTACCGGGTATTATATAGTGTAGTAAGTATCGTATATTATAAGAGAATTTTATTGAGAAGTATCTTTAATTATGTTAAAATATTCTTAATATTCTATGGGATATTTGTGTAAATGTACTTTCTGGCAAAATTTAAATTAATTAATCTGGCAGTTGTATAGTTGTATTTTTTTAGATTTTAACGATTGAACCAATATATCTAAAATATGTATAATATACATAAAGTTATATAAATAATATGTATGGTTGTACAATAAAAAAGTACATACATATGTACAATACATACATTCATAAAATAATACATTCTTAAATTTCTTTTAAAATATTTTAAGAGATAAGAATAATTTTATTATTATAATTATTATTTTTCTTTTAAGATTTTCATGTAAAGTTTTATAATCAATTCCAATTTCAGTAATAGCTATTTCTTATATATTTTTTTCAGTGCATTGCAGTTGTCTGATTGCGTGATTGTGTTTTTTCTGCAATTTATCCAGAGCCACTGCTCTTTCGCCGTGTGTATGGCAACCGCAAAGAGCAAGGCTACCTGAAAAGGTTATACCCCCTTAGTCCCTGCGCCTCCGTGCCCCTGAACCCCAGTTTCCCAGTAACCTCCCCCCACCCACCATCCGGCCAGAATGTCCTCTGGCTTTCCCAGCATTTGCTCCTGCAGGAGCTCCTGCAAGCACACGTTTATGGAGTGTTCGCACATAAAAATATTTTATGGCGCAAGGCGAGAAAGGATTGCAGACGACGGCGATGTTGTGTCTTATCGTGGGTTGAGGGAGGGGGGCCTGGTGAAAAGGGGGGCGGAGAAGGAGCTGGGGGTGGCTAAGTGGCGTTACCGTTACCGCACATCGCCAGATAAAATAACGGTGCCAGACATTGTCTTATGAATAAATTGTTATGGAAATCGAATTAATGAACGCTGTGGCGCACAATGGAGGGTACCCCAAAGGGCAGTTGGGGGCGAGGGAAGCTGCTCCTTGGGCTTCCTTTTCCCCCTCTATGTCTGTGGGTGTGTGTGTGTGTGTTAGCGTGCCAGAGGTTAATACCTGAGCTTATTTGTCTAACTCTTTCGCCTCCTCTCGCTGCGTAATTTAATTATGCGTTCACTTTGCCAGCCAACATAGCCCAGCTCCCCCGTCAGACTACGGCCCTGGAGTAGTAGCCCTGGAGCCGCCCAGGAGTTCTTATCTCGAACGTCGAGTGTCTGCACCGCATAGTCTATATAAGGATATAGTACATATATATCTTCTATTTATGTACATACATACATACATATATTTCTTTGGTTTGTGCGTGTGCCACTAAATTGCAGCATTTAATCGAATTTTCAACTGATGGCCGAAAGCTTAGGAAGATGGTGGCTTATAAGGCCGAGATTAAAGCCAAAGCTGGGATGGCTTTGGCAGTTTAAGCCATCTAAGCTGCTTTAAAAGGTGTCTTGGGCCAGAGTACATTCGGCAGCCATTAACCAGTTAATGGACAAAAACTAATAAAGGGTCTTTTTGTAGTTATTATGTTTAGAAAATTAAAGATATAGATATATATCATTTAAAACTAAGATAAGGTCATATTGGCCCATAAAAAACCATAATTAAGGTATGTTCTAAGATTTAAGTAATTTAATTTGTACAAGTGGTGAAGTTATTGCCACTTTCTGTTTTTATGCAGGAGAACACGTGGTAGCTTTGAAATATATACATAGGTGGCAACACTCTACAATGCCAAACAATAAAAAGTTGAGGTTCCATTTCTATGCCTCTGGTTACATTAAAATCTACAATTATCCGCATCATTCTACAAAAACAAAAAGCCCTCGTTTTGGAAGCGTCTAGAAAATTCCAGGAATCTTCTACAAAAACAAAAAGCCCACGTGCAAGCACCCAGAGACTTCAAGAAGTCTTGACAAAAATATAAATGAATTCCTAAGAAAAATGTAGCCCAAAACAAAACGAAAAAATAAACAAAAGTAACTATTGTGGAAAAGCGTCCAAAACTTCATTAGAAAATGTATATTAGATGATGTACAAAAATAATGATATTTTTAGAAAAAGCCTTCCACCGGGAGCGCTCCGTGCTCTGCATCCACTTCAGGGGCCATATCGCTGGAACTCCCAGGTGCGGTTGTCCAACGGGCACACCTGGCGCGTCTGCAGCCAGCGCGCGATGCAGTGAAGGTGGAATGCGTGGTTGCACGTCCCCCATGCCACTGTGCACTGCTCGAAGGGTATCGGTCCCCCGCAGGCCTGGCACTCAATGCATAGATCCATTATATGATTCCGGCAGATCGCGCAGTTATCGACGACGATGTCCCAGGCCCACACGGCCACTGCGTCAAACTTCTTGACCTCGAAACGTTTGGGAGGTCCCCCATTTCCATCTCGCTTGTTTTCTCGGTTGCTGTTCATGGTTTGGGATTAGTTTTTTTGCTGCGAGCTAAATATATTGAAATAAAATAATAAATAATAACTAAAAAACAATAATAATAAAAATAATAAAATAAAATAATGAAGTAAATATCTCTTTAGAATAAATTTTTATATGTTAGAAAATTTTATTTAAATACTTACCAAAGAAAGTTTCTAGAAGATCCAGTTGCTGTGAAGTCGGCGTTCGAAATGGAACGATGCAAGCGTTCCCTACCAGGGGCTTATTTTTTGAGTGACCCTACCTTGGGGCTTTTAAAGTGACCAAGTCTAGAGTTTTACCCTAAAAACACTTCACTGTTTGCATAACATATAGGTTATATTTATCTAATAACTATCGGTTTACTGTAAACTTCACTGTAAAGTAACATTTTTTGAGATGGCACATTTATAAACAAACAAAATTATTTAAATAAAAATAGCTTATAAAATATTGGATAAATTTTAAAAATAAAAACAAATAAGTATTAAGTTTCAGAAGTTTCCAAATGAAAAGCACATCTATTTGAATAAAATCTTGTATAAAATATTAAAAAAATGATTTTTTCTTAGGCCCACTGACTTCCCTGCCAGAAATGTTTAATTCAACGGATCATCGCTGTCATCCTTCTCTCTGGCGGCAGCTCCGGCCATCCTGGCCATCTCTGTGTACTCAGCAGAATTGATGCACAGCCGGCCGTTGGTGGCCTTGCCCACCATGCCCATTTCAAACACAAAGTTCGTGTCGTTCCGCGCATCATGGACCTTGTAGATGACTGCTCCGGCGCTTTTCACAAGCTCCTCGGTTTCCATGTCGCGCGACAGCTCCATCATTGCATTCCTGGCCTCGTGCTTGGCCTTTCCACAGGCACAGGCATGGTACTTCGAGAAGACGCCGCTGGGCTCGATCTGGTAGAGCTGGGGACCCTTCCCTTCGCTCCAGGAGGCCAGCACGATCGAGACTTCGAAAGGCCGGATGACCAGGCACTGGATGTGGGCTTCAATGAATCCGGCCACCCGATCGGTCAGATATTTCAACGGAACTGGATGTTCGTGCTGCTTCCGGTAGGTGAGCGCCTCCTGACGGGCAATGTCTGCCACAACGACTGCATCGGCCCACTCGCCTGCCGCAGCCATCCCGATACTGGAGTCTATGGTGAAGATGCGTCTCGCAGCGTCGTCCTCGTACAACTTGCTGAAGTTGATCTTCTCCACAGCCAGGATTACGCAGTCCTTGCCGCACAGGCCGATCACAGTACCGCTCCTGCCCACCGCCTTGGTGGCGTGCTCAACCCGGAAGGCGAGGTGTTCGGCCTCAGAAGCACTCATTTTTGAAAAGTTGCAGCTTTATGCTTAGGATTTTAAAAGGATGTTTGAAAAGTAAAGGAAGGCCAAGGTAAATTTATTCAATTATTTGCCAGCCAACTATGATTACTTAAAGCCAGTTAATTAGGGCCAGGAATTAAGTGAGCCAACCACCAGATAGTCCTTCAGGCAGTTGCATTCAAAGGCAGCCAAAGGACCTTCAGGTGTCATCGGCAACAGGCCAGGCATTGGGGAAACAATTTGTTAAGCAACAATATCCCCTCTCGGGTGAAGGATGATGGCCAACAAAAGGCATTGATATCTTGAGGACATCAACTTTGTCTCGGCATTCCGAAAATCGAGTTAAGCTCAAAGGCGAAAATGAGCCTTGCTCCACAAAAAGTCCTTCAGCCAGTCAGTTGCTTAGTCTTTCAGTCTTTTAGTCCTTTAGCCTTCAGACACCAAACAACCAAACCGAATACCACTCTCCCTCCCAGCCAGCGGCCAGAAAAAAGGACCTCCAATGATACTTTGAAATCAAACACGACGGCGATGGTGATGTTTATAAGGCGATAAGGCGGTGGATAGCAGGATAAAGGATAAAGGAGCAGCAGTAGGTGGGAGGTGGAGTCGTAAATGAGCAGCAACCTATTTGACACACGGCTGGAAATTAAAAAGCCAACGCGAAGTGCCGGAGATCTTTTGAAGTTGCACGCCGTAATTGTCACGGACACGTTTCCACGGACAACGCACAAAATCTCGCAGACCCGGCCGCCTTTAAGGTCTAATGAGCAAAACTGGTATAGAAAGTTGTCCATTTTTTTAGTTTAATATTCTTTAAATTAGGGATTAGATTGGGTTTTGATTTTTAAAGTTTCATAAAAAAAGAGATGTACATGATAGAGGGGAAAATATCCAAGTATTGTATACATTGTATGTACATACATAAATTATAAAACATACAAAGTACCGGGTATTTAATAGTCATTTTGACGACAAAAAAGCTGCATAAAAGTACTGGGCATAATTAGTAAAGAAGCCATTGGTCAATGTAGGTATCGATAGCTTTGTGTTTATTTCAATTTACAATTTTATAACTAAAATTAAAATGTTCTTCTTTTTTACTTTAATGCCATATTATAAGAAAGAAGAAGCCGATATAAATTATTTAAAAAAAAATATATATATTCAAAAGTTAAAAACTAAAATATCTCTTACTGGCGATGAGCAGATCTCGATGACATCGTCTTTAAGCTTTTATCGATATATCGTGTCTAATGTGCTTAATTTTGCATCAGTGGTCATCACTAAAAGTGTTTACAATGCGTGTTAAAATTATGTATTTTGTCTAATTATCTTTAAAATACTGTAGTTTCCATAAATATTTGAATATTGGAACCATAAATTCGTATCATTTAAAAAATTAAATTACTAAACCTGCCAACCAAAAACACGCCTTCAAAAGAAGACAAAATTAAAAGCAATTAACTAAAATAAATGTTTTGAAGAAATTCAAAGTAGCATCTGCATATCAGCTGCACATCCTCTTAAATCTCCCCACCATATACAAGTACATATGTATATATATTAACCCCAACACCGATTTTTAGACCGATTTCTGGATGTAGAAACGAGTTAAAGCTAAATGGCCCGTGGAACACGATGGATAGTTGGACGGATGGATGACTCTGGAAGGGTTCGGATCGCTTCTCTCTAATGCAATTGATGTGCGGGTTTTCTTCCTTTTTTTTGGCCTAGGTGTGGGTGAAGAGGCGTGGCAGTTAGTGGGCGGACCGGAGGTCGGAAAGGGCGCATTGAGGCGGCAACCTAATAAAAGGAACGAAAACAACTTGTTTTCCAATTTTACAATTTAACAAGTTGCCATTAGACGTCGACGTCGCCAGGCGCACAAGTCGTTAGTTCTCGGTCTTTGGTCTTGGGTCGTGGGTCCTTCGTTCTTGCTGCTTCGTGGTCCTTCATCCTAGCAGCAATCCTTTCGCCTGAGCCGCCAAACCAAACCAAACCAAGCCAAATAACAACAAAAGCAAAAGAAAATTCCTAAGAAAATCGACTGCTATTGGATTCCAAGGCTCGCAGGCTCAAAGGCTTACCGGAACTCTAAAATAAAATAAAATAGAAAATAAAATCAAGCCAAAATCCAACAGAAACAGGACCAAAAAAAAAAATAGTAGAAGAACCAGTGCGCCCCACAATTTTTCTCGGGCAGAGCGTACAAATTTTTCGAATTGTTCGCTGGAGACTAATAAAATCAACGACGTGGAACTTCAAGCCGTTCCCATGGACCAGAAAGAAAAGAAAAGGGGTGTCTTCGTTAAAAAGGGGGGGTCGCTGCAGGGTGACAGGATGACTGGCTGGCTGGCTGGCTAGCAGCGGCGGGGTCTGGAGTGGGGAGGCTAGAGACAATGAGTCGTCGTTGGCGGCACCGGCGACGTCTCACATGCAGCACCCACAAGTCCGGAACTAGTCGCCGGCCCAAAGGACACTCCCATATGACTAAAGGACACTTTCTTCTTAAATAGAAAATTCAATATTTTATAGGAAATATTTATTTTATATTTAAGAATTTTTGAATTTGAAAAAATCACTATTAATCACTATTACTATATCTTTGTTATGTATTTTTCAGGGCCCCCAAAAAATAGAGTATATCCCAGAGAATCTCACAACCCACTGGACCACAAGCAGACAGGACAAAGAACAAAAAGATCGGGAACAGGACCTGAGACTCTGAGCCAGCCAAAAGTTATTAAACAGTTAAGCGGCATAGGTCTTGGGATTTTTCAGCCAAAAAAACACACACACACAACACAGCACATAAATATGGCCAAAAATAAGGACGAATAAAAACTGTGTAAAAATATCTACGTATCCAGGACGAAAGAGTTGAGCCTTAAGCCTGCTGCTGCCTTAGGTCCTTTTTTGGCCAAAGCTCTAGACATTGTCTAATTTATATTTAGCCACGTTACCAGAGGTGGTGTGGGGCTGGGAATTGGATTGGATCGGCGGTTAACGATTCGGGCCAGGCCGACATCATCGCCCGTTGTTTAGGCCTTAATCAGCCAGCCGCCATTAATAAATCAGAGTCATTAAAAATGCAAGCTGCCAGTGAATGGAAAAAGGCCAACGCGCCAAAGTAATAGAAAAAAAAATCGTTAAAGCGAACAAAACAAAAAAGAGAGACGGTCTATGCGAATTTTTAATGCTTTAATTGAAAAATATATTTTTAAGATAAAAAAAAATTTTTAAGCAAATTTTAAGAAGAAATTCCGGATCTTTACTTAACCTTAGTCCACTTATACATTGTATTTTAGGTTTGTACGAAAAAGAAAAGTTTTTAAAATTTAAAGTCTATATTAATAATTTCCATAATTTAAAATATATAGTATAAATTATTAAAATACTTAGCATAGGATAGGTAGATACGCATTTGAAATCTTTGAACTGAGATAGCCGAAAGGAAGTTCAAATACAAATTGGAAATCGAATGAAAAGACGGTGGTCGCCTTGAGCCTGTGCCAGGACCTTAAAAAGGCGTTTGCATTTAAGGGCTGGCAGGAAGCGAAGGATTCTTCAAAAAGGAGAAGGGGCCGATGGTAGAGTGACCGTGGCCCGGGGGGGTATGGTGCTATTCATTCATTAAGCAACCGGACCAAGACCAAGACCAAGAACCAGGAGCTGGTCCCGCGCTGAATCACACAAAGGGACACTTTACAGCCGAATGAATCTAATTAAAATGTAATTATAAATGTAACCGTTAAGCGGAAGTATCCGCGGGATACCAGCCGGAGCTCCGGATCTCAGGGATCTGGGATCTCCAATCTGAATCTGAATCTCCACCAGCCAAAAAAAAAACCAAAATAATGA